AACTGGCCCTCCCCCTCCCCTCCCTGGCCCTCCCCTTCCCCTCGCCACCGTACCTCTGAAGGGGGCATAGGACATCGCGGGGATGCTCCCCCGATGGATGGAGGCGCGAGACCTGCTCATCAGGCCTGGGAGGGAGGGGGCGGGGGACGGGGGAGAAAGAGAAGAGAGAAAGAGGGGGAGAGAGAGGGGGAGAAGGAGGAGGAGGTGGAAGAGGAGGAGGAGAGAGGAGGAGAGAGGAGCGGAGAGGAGCAGAGAGGAGGAGAGAGGAGGAGGAGGAGGAGAATGGGAGCCAACGGCAGCAGCGGCAGCCGGGAGAGAGAGAGGGGGGCGGGGGAGTGAGCGAGAGAGGAGAGAGCAGGAGGAGGAGGAGAGAGAGAGATCTGCAGCCCCCACCCCTACCCAGTGGGAATCAGAGAGACAGAGACCCCTGACTCAGAAACACCAGAGAGAGAGAGGGAGAGCGAGCCGGAGAGAGAACAGTTTTAAAGCTGCAGATCCTAGACCCTGAGAGCAAGAGACCCCAGACCCAGAGAAAGATACTTGTCACCAGGGAGGGGAGGTGCGGGGAGGTTAATCTGAGGCACAGATCCAAAATCTAGAGGAAAACAGACCTCAATCTCTGTAAAAGCAAAAACAACGCCCCCCCAAACAGACCCCCCTAGAGAAAGGGGTGAAAGGTCAAAAACTGAGCCACCGGTTTCAAAAAAGTTCTCCAGAGCCACAGGAATCTTGGACGGTAGCCTCAGATGGTTATTCAGGGACCAAGCTCTGAGGCTGAGACCCAGATGCAGAGAGAGATGTCAACCAGAGACCCCAGATACAGGAAATGCAGACCTCGGGCTTGGGGTGGGAGTGGGGGAGAAGGGGAGGAAGAGGTTAGAGATGGGGAGCGAGGGAGGGAGGGAGGAAGACGCTTAGCTAGTGCAGAGATGCAGAACTCAGCGACCCCAAATTCATAAAGAAGAGTTAGAAAAACCTTGAAGAGACAGTGATTACAGATCCAGGAAAACAAACCCCTAAAACAAAAACAGAAAGAAACCCCAATGCAAACACGGAAAAGACCCCCCAGAGTTGTATCTCAGGAACAAACTCCGAAGCAGAGACAGAGTTCTGGAGGGGACCCGGCCGAGAGGCAGGCCTGAGGGAACTCCGGAGGCAGCCTGAGAAATGCCAGTCGCCCACCCCCGGCCAGAGACCCTAGACCTTGGAGGGGATGGGGGGGGGGAGGGGGGAGGGGGGGGAATAAGGACACATATGTAACACCTTAATCAATAAAGAAAAAAAATAAAATTAGTGTGTGAGGAATCACTAATGCTGTGAATATCTGGTGTATTATCTCCCCATATATTAAAGCAGAGAATGCTTATTTTTTAATTAGAACCTTCTTTCAAAGTCTTGATATATCAGCTTACTCCCCCTTACACACACACACACACACACACACACACACACACACGTGAATTTTTTCTTTTAAAGCTCATAACTCTCTAGTAACTATTCTAATGGAAATAATTATCTTTGTGATTATATAATTCACTTTAATTTAGCACCCAAATTAAGAACCATAATTGTCTGACATACATTTTTTTTACAACTTATTTTTTAATATGCTTTTATTAACTTTTAGAGAGGAAGGGAGAGGGACAGAGAGACAGAAACATCAGTAAAAGAGAAATATCATACATCGGCTGCCTCCTGCACACCCTCTACTGGGGATCGAGCCTGCAACTCAGGCAAGTTCCCTGACCTGGAATTGAATTGTGACCTCTTGGTTCCTAGGTCAATGCTCAACCACTGAGCCACGCTGGCTGTACATTTTCATCTCAGTTTCTCTCTCTTCCTCCTCCTGTTTACTTTTATTGTTCATATGCTTCCATTTCTCCAACTTTCAATTGCTTAACTGTCCCCATGTTTAATTATTTTCTGCCTAGTCTTTATCTCATACTGTGTCTTCTTTTCAAGAAGTTTTTTTTAGAACATGAATATTCTTTTGTAAACATAACCCAAAATAATGGTGCCACTGTAAATTATCAGACCAATCTATACTAATTACATACTGGAATATAGATAAATTCAGATATTCTCTTTTCTTAGTATGCTCCCTTTTTTTTCAGATATAATCGTCTTCCTTACTGCATTCATTTGGATAACACTATTTCTCGGAATCTGGGAATGACAGGAAGTCCATGCTAGTATCAGACCAATCTATACTAATTACATACTGGAATATAGATAAATAAATTCAGATATTCTCTTTTTTTAGTATGCTCCCTTTTTTATTCAAATATAATCATCTTCCTTACTGCATTCATTTGGATAACACTGTTTCTCGGAATCTGGGAATGACAGAAAGTTCAAGCTAAAATGAACTTCTCATAACAAAAGAGGCATCTGATTCCATGAAACTGTATTGACCATTTGGTTAAAATTCATATGATCCATGACTCATTGTTCTAATATTTTAATTTACTGACATTATGGGGGGTTTTGATACCCTCTATGCCAGTGATTCTCAACCTTCCTCATGCCCCAACCCTTTAATACAGTTCCTCATGTTGTGGTGACCCCCAACCATAAAATTATTTTCGTTGCTACTTCATAACTGTAATTTTGCTACTGTTATGAATCGTAATGTAAATATCTGATATGCAGGATGTATTTTCATTGTTACAAATTGAACATAATTAAAGCATAGTGATTAATCACAAAAACAATATGTAATTATATATGTGTTTTCTGATGGTCTTAGGCGACCCCTGTGAAAGGGTCATTCGACCCCCAAAGGGGTCGCAACCCACAGGTTGAGAACCGCTGCTCTATGTACTTATCTATCTGTAAATCATCCTTTTTTTAGAATTTGGTATGTCTGTATTTTAAAATCTTCATTTTCACATAATTTTTTTCTTATTCCACACTTTGTTACATTTTTAAAAATGGGGTAAAAGACTAGACATCTAGCAATAGATTCCCTTCTGCTCTATGTACTTATCTATCTGTAAATCATCCTTTTTTTAGAATTTGGTATGTCTGTATTTTAAAATCTTCATTATTCACATAATTTTTCTTATTCCACACTTTGTTACATTTTTAAAAGTGGGGTAAAAGACTAGACATCTAGCAATAGATTCCCTAAAAGGAATTACTCACAAACGACAAGACTGGTATGTGCTTCTTCATATTTTATGACTTCCCTCTAATGAACATGGACCGCTTTTGTAATATGACAACAATGTGAAAGAAGAGAATCGGTGATGTGTCAGTCATCCTATGGTATGCACGTCATAGCAACTAAACCAGGGGTGGGGAACACGGGGCCCTCTGGTCACATAAGGCCCGAGAAGTCATGCGGTCTGGCCCTGCCAAGACATGAGGGGGGAGTTAACTAAACGTTTGACCAAATACGGCAGGCTAACTTTTAAGTTGATAACTTTGTATGGCCTG